AGCTCCATAATTTAAAGCCACAAAACATTGTGTGCTGATCTCAGGCAGGTCATGGCTGGCTTGGTCTTTCATGTATTTTCTAATCAAAAGCAGATAAGACAAATATCATTTTAGTGAGCTCTGCCATGAGAGCTTCTCAAGCAAAATATTGCCAGAATTAATTAATTAGCTTGTAAAGGTACATTAAAAGCATGATGTTATGAAGAAAAGAAAAGTTACAAAGCAAAAAAAAAAAAAAAAAAAAAAAAAAAATTTACAAATTAGCAGGAAATCCAGCCTTAGTCCATGAAGCTTTATTATAGCATTATTAGATTTATCGTTTTAAACTCTAATTCATTTTACCCAGAAAAACATTCTATTAGAAATTTATATTTTCTCATTAAGAAAAATATATTTTTTTTATATGATACTTTACTAACAATATATTACTTTATGAAGCCAAATAATAGATACACAAGCCTTAGTTGAATATCAATTGTGTAAAGCAGGTTTTGAAATTTTAATATATAATTAGGTGCTTTATTAGTGTTGAAAACAAGATTTTGCAAGTAATTATTTTCTTTTCACAAGACTTGCTGTATTTTTGTGTTAAATCTGGCTGGTATTTTCTAGAGAAGATAATCTTATAGGAGACTTTTTCTTACACTTTTGTTTGATGTATCCCTTGGAAAATTTCATGAATATCCCGAAGTTCACTGAGCTTTGCTACTAAGGCATTAATTTTATATCATTATACACAATGGCAAATGGTATCAGGACAACTAAATGGTTAGTCAATAAGCCTGATTATTTCTGGTGCTTTTTATTAAATCATATCTGTAGCTTTCATAAGTATAATAAAATTTGAGATAGAGTTAATAATTCATCACGAATCAACCTGACTGCTTTATGTAATCTTAAACATGCCTGAGACTTGTATGTATAATCGATATTTTTTTAAGGCGTTGTTTTGCGTATTTCAGGTGATTTTAATGAAGTTCTATTTTTTTTTTTTTTTTGTTGTTGTTTAAAGGGGTTGTAAGTTTAAAGGAACTTTTGTAAACTTTAAGTTTTGTAGGTTGTTTTTAAAAGTTCTGAGTGAAGTTGCGTAATTTTAATTGAGTTTAGGGGATTATATTTTGTTGGTTCTAGTTGTTAACCCTTAAGGTTGTTTAATTTTAATTAATTGTTTTTTAAAACTTTGCTGTTGCACTTGGTGTTATTTTTTGCTCGGCTTGTTGGCCGTACTTGAGTGTTTACTTGAGGGTTGTTTGCGTGAGTGTGGGTGTTCTGATTCTCATTAGGCATGGTAAGTAGTATTGGTTTTCAATAAGTTTTGCTTGTTTGTAATTTGCCAGTTTAGAGCTGCTAGTTTCATTTCTTAATTTGTCACTGTCACCACTTAGCTTTATCTGCATTTTCTTTATTATATTATACCTGATCTTCGAACAAAATTTTCCTTTTCAACGGGGAGAATTTGTATGTATAATCGTTATATTTTTTTTTAAGCTTAGTTGTTTTTATTTCAGTTTTGATTTGTAATTGAAGTTTAATTTTTTGCTTTTGTTTAAGTGGTTGTAAGTTTGGACTTTGATAACTTTAAGTTTTTGGTTAGGTTGTTTAATTTTAATTTGAGTTTAGGGACTTAGATTTTGTTTTTGTTCTAGTTGTTTTGACCCTTAAGGTTGTTTAACTTTTAACTTTAATTTTTATTTTTAAAACTTGCTGTTGCACCTTTGTGGTGTAATTTTTTTTTCCTAACTTTTGAGTAATTTAATTGGTATCCTCTTTCTTTTTTTAACGTTAAACGAATACATACTTTCTGACTGGCGGTAGAAAGAAAAATAATTTGATTCTATTTGTATTTCTTTTGGATAATTGTGTTTAGTCTCAATTGGTGGCTGAGGAGGAAACAATTATTACAATGCTGACATTTTTATTATGAATTATAATGTTGTGTAATTAGTAGCTTCATATTTTTTTAATTTCCCAAAGTCATTTTGTATTAACTTAGTTCAGAGGTTTTCGCCCCTTGCCCTCTTTCCTTCAGCGAAAATTCTTATCAGCAATTGTATTGCACCCCAAAATTCCTTTCTGCTAAGCGTTCCACCATGTGTGGGGGGAAGTGCTTGATAGTTTTACCATGTGGTTTTCACGAAAAGAGGACCCTGTTTTGCGGGACCAGGATAGCAGGGTGATGTTCTAGAGCATACTTATGGTGGGGGAAAATATTACGTTGACACAGAAGATCTGCATTATCGACTGGGACCCTGGGCGAGGCTAGTTTCTTTCCCCTGTTTCCGCCTGCAGTTGTGATGACACATTGGTGTGGGCTTGGAAGTTGAACGATGGAATGGATGGAATGGCGAGAAAGAAAAACGGCTCCTTTTGATAGTCGGCAAACCCCTTCCCGTGAAGATCCAGAGTGTGGGTTGCCTTTTGTTTTTGGCTTCCTGCTAGTCACCATCTACGCCAGGTTTTCAAAAAACGCGCCAGCTACTAAAACGGCTGCGCAGTGTTTTTCGGGGGGCTTGAGGAGACAGGGAGAGAAGGAGACCAAAGAATCTCTAAGGACTTCTTTGCGGAGACGACAGAAGAGAGACGGAGAGGAGGAATGGATCAACGCTGACATTTTTTCCTGAGGCTTGAGGCAGCTGCAGCGACTAGAAGAGACCTTCTATCTTCTGCCTGGCAGACCCCGAAAGTTCGGGAAATATACATCTTACTCGATATGCTAAGCCGTGAAGGGAAACTGAAGTGACTACAGATGATAACCTTGTAAGGATCTTAAGTTTTACTAAAGTTTATTTTATTTTAAATCTTTACTATCACTTCTTATTTTCTACTTCCGGCCAAAATTAAAAGCTTTAACTTATTTATGCAAATTTGTTGGCGAACGCCAAGTACTTAAGTTGTGGCTTTTTGCCAAGCGAGAGAGAGGAAGGAGTTAGTAGAAGCAGGCCGCTTGCCTTAGCAGTTTTACTCGGTTGCTGGTTGCCTTCCAGGCCAGAGGTTTAATCCTCTTAATAATTTTAAACGTATTGTAGTGTTAACAGTTTTCTGCACTACATACGGCTTCCTAACCACAAATTTCATGTTCCAAATGAAAAAGAAACTAAATAACGCTGGACAATGAAATTTAGATCCAGGCAAGTGTACACTTTGTTGCACAAGGAAGAAACCTCATAGAAGATACACGTGCGAAACGTGCAATGCACTGAGTCTTTTTTTTAATCCTTATTTTGCTGAGTTTTTTAATCCATTTACCCAAACGTCCTTATTATGCAGGTACTTATATTTTCACTGCTATAGAAAAATTACATAAATGTTTATTTTTTAATTTTTCCTGACGATTTACTTTGTAAAATAATGTAAAAAATTATATATTATGCAATTCCTACATACATTTTTTTAAAAAATTCTTAAATTTCGTCATTTATTGGAAACGCGCACGGAGAAAGGTAAGTTTTTTTCCCCCTACTTACCTCGGTAAGTAAACCTAGACGCGCGTGGTTTCTCAGTGCGACCACCACCCACAGAACAATGGGCAAGAGTAGATTTTTTTAAATTCATATATTATTTGTCTCTAGGATCATAATATTCAATTTCTAGAGTTTTTAGTTTAAAAAATTATAATAAAAATAATATCGCGCGCGTCAAAGGATTAAAAAACATCATGACTACTCACAGTTGTTTAATACGTTTTGATCAAATAAATGCATAGAGAGAAAGGGGGAAATTTCAATGGAACTGGCGACAGGTAACTTCATGCCATTGGCAACAAGTAGCGGCTAACACTCTTCCCCGCCACTTTAGTGTTTGTCTAGATGGCGACTGCGCAACAGAAATTTTGTGTTCTATTATTCGTAAAGTGTGAGTCCATAACAACTGTTCAGCGTAATTTTTGTCGACAAAACTCTGGTGTTCAACAATTTACGGCTGGTATAAGCCAGGGGCAAAGAAGGTCTATGCATGTGCAGCTATTTCCCTCTACGTTGCAACGGAGCCCCTCCTGTGGCGGAGAAGTTTTCCTTCTTAACAATACATATTCTTTGCCAGAGGTTCCCAATCATATGCCCGCGATCACAATAAAAATGTTTTAGTTTTCAATAAAATTCTATGTGCAACTTTTCCCATTTAAAAAAAAAAAAAAAATAGAAACTGCGACCAACGCAGACACCAGAACAAAGCAAAATGAGACCGATCTTTTCTTTTTTTTTTTATGTGCATGTATTATTTATTAACTCTATCCAACTATAAATTCACCTTGGAAAAATTAATGGTGCCCGCCGTTCAACGAGTTCTCGCTTTTCCCCCTCTCCCAGACCCGAATCACTTGCGAACGACATTACTTTCCGGTCCCCCTATTAAATGACTCCATTCATGTACCTCCACTTTCAGCTACAATAGCCGAACTGAAGATACGCTAAACAGGAACCATGAAAGCAGCGGATGCAGATATGCTGGCAAAAGTTAAGGATGAATTCGACTACCTTTATAAACATATACTGTACATACAATGGTGGGCATACTGAGCAACCTTAATGTGGTTTGTAAAACATCTTTATGAATAGCCATGTCATATAAAATTAACCTTAAGTTTATATGCTCAATATTTTTCATAATATTCATATTTCAAATCGAGGGATTCTTTTTGTGATCGAATTCTAACGGTTTTAGTATGCACATATTTTAACTTCGTTGAACTGTAAAGGAGAAGTTTATTCGAAGAAAAGTAAAAGCAAGCTGATAAAATTAAAATAAAGTAGTAACGGATGTGTAGCAGTAACACAGTAGCATTAAAATTTTACTGTTAAAATATCCGTATCACATTTCATATTCTTAATCTGAAACTTCAAGCTTAGACGCTTTTACTTATGCATGTTTTTAGGTCGTCCCTTATAAGCCATATATATAAATGCTGCTTTACAGTATCAGTGTATTAAAATTTATACACAAAAATGTCAAATGTAATAGAAGCATAGAAACTGAATAGCAATTTGATGAAGCTACAAACTACGTTCCAAGGAAACACTTTATTAAAAATAATGAATGTCAGATGAGGAAATGCACTTTTGTTTCCGTTTACAGGTGCAGTTTTCCTTAATTTCAAAAGATGCGAATTAAGTTGAAAAAATAATACAATAAATACTATAAAAATGTTATTTATGAGAATATTCTCCACAGATCTTTTATCTTCTGTATATGAATATTAAAATTTCCATGTTTCTCACGTCGTGGCGAAAATGCAAAAGTATATTAAAATAATGTATAAAATCAACAATTGACTGATCTTCTTGAAATAATCGAAAGCTTCTGAAACTGTCAGTTTTCTCTCATTTCTGCAAATTCCAAAAATAAATATGAGCAAAGGTATAAACGAAATATTAAAAAAACAATTTTTATTTTATGTAGGGTTAAAGAATTATTTTGCAAGACATTATACAACCAATTTAAGCAAAGTCTTATTATAGGTACTATTATACACAATGTGTCTACAAAGTCTTAGGATTAATTTTTTAAACAAATTCTAGAAAATCCGCCGAACGATAATTGATAGCATATAATACTATGATATCTTAACTTGACTTCCCTAAAACATCGTCATTTTGCGCACGGAATTTTCTACGTTAAAGCGTGAACATCTGTTGTCACAGGATGCAGATCCAATTTCTGCATGCAATGTTGTGATCTTGATTTTTTAAATAAATTATGACTGTAGATGAAACTTGGTACTTTTATTATGATTCTGAGATGAAACAACAATCATCTGGTTGGGCTGGAGAAAATGTATCATGATCTCAGAAACTCTGGTTTGAGTAACCTGGCGTAAAGCTATCCTGGTGACCTTCCCTGATTGGAAGAGGACAATTCAGAAGTTGTTCATTCCTAAGGGAGAAATATTGAACGCCTTATTTTATATAGGCATAATGGAAAACCTTTTGAAGAGAATTCATTAATGTACTGAAAAACCTGAATTGAATATCTGATACCTGCTGCACGACAATGTTCAGTCGCATAATCCCATTCTGCTCAAGGAAATGATACTGGTCACTTCTAAGATAACCAACCTCGTTCAAAGGGCCTTTTTTTTTTTTTTTTTTTTTTTTTTAATTCTATGAGGCCAATATTTTAACTCTTACTCTATATCATGCATAATAATGCATAAACTCTGTGTCAAAATTTCAAGTTATTGCATACGGAACTTTTAGAGTTATCATTGTTGCTGTAAACATGAATCATAAAAGAAAATTATCAAAAAGTCGCATTTAAAGTTTTCAGAATAACATAACATGGCATCTATACACAACTATTCAAGTTGCCAAACGAAAATGAGAAAAAATACACAATAAAAATACTTTCCCGTATTTCTTAGACATATTGAATGCTTAAAATTATTTAGTAAAAAAAAAAAAAAAAAGAAAAGAAAACTGCATCTTTAATTTGCCCTTTAAACTTTGGCTTCCGCTGAGGAAAATAGTAACTTCTAGTTTGCCGTCTCTCAGAAAAACTGGTATATCTCCACTTCTAATCAGCATGTCAAGAGAGAAAAGTGTCTTTGATAGCTAATATTAAAAGTTTATATATATATATATATAAAACTGAAAGGTTTCGGATTTTTAAATTACGTCCAAAGGGGCGTTTTTTTTTAACGTTTTGTGTGTTACCCTTATTTATTAAATATCATGTACTACGTACTCAAACTATAAAATTCAGTTCAAGAGCAATATCGCAAAATAATTTTTAAATGAGCATATCTTTAGAATTTCCGATATAGAGTCTCGCGCACTGGCGATAATTCCCCCCCCCCCGTACAGTGTTGCCATTGCTCCCTTTGAAAGCGTTTAGTTTGTTAATCAAAAATTCATTAAAGTGTTACAAAATATGAAATCGATAATAAAACAAATTTCAAGATTTCAAATTTAGGCTTCCACATGCTCATATTCTATGGAAGATTACTTTATTCAAATTTTGAGGGCTCTATGTACCGTCGTTTTATCACAAGCGAGAAGCATACATACATTTATGCAGATTCTTCATTATTTTTTATTAATACAGGGTGCTACTATTTGGTGGCAATAATTTGAAAAGCGATTCGCCGTTAACAGTTTTCAACGCAAAATGTCAAAACGAAATTAATAGTCCTTCTGGGCAAATTGTCCTTTGGACTAAAAATGAGATTTTGAACCAAAATCGGCCTTCTGAACGAGATCGGTTATCTTAGAGGCTTAAATAGTATTCCAAAAGATAGTTTTCGAAGGAATCAGGCAGCTGTATGAATGAACCAAGCACTGTGTAGATTTTAGGGAATGCATATCGAAGGTAAAGAAGCCCGAATATTGTTTCCTTCAACTTTTGATTTTTTACAAACGTACTCCTAAAACTGTATAAACACACTGTTTAAATCATAATGATTACATATGAAATGATTATATATATGAAATAGAAAAATTTGTATATCAGATATTGTTTATGCTTCAAAAATCTATTCTTAATCACGAAGAGAAAAATTAATTTTTTACTTAAAAAAAGAGGGTTAGGAGAAGGTGATTCGAGTGCAAATTCGGTTATCTCTAATAAATTTGCTCACAATTTGTTAATTGGGCTTCAATTAGTTTTATAATTTTTTTTAAATTCCAAAACGTGAAACTACCTTCACTTTTCCTTTTCTAAGTTATGAAAATTCTCAAAATGATTAACTATAACATACTGTTATAAATTGTTGTAAGTATTTATATTTATTGGATTGTTCTTTATTTTATGTGTATTTGTATAATGTATTTACTTTGTAATGTATCATTCATTAACCGATTCGCAACCGATACCTAAACTTGCATACCGTTAAATTACTTGAGCCAACTTATAGACTACTAAATCAACGTTTAAATTTATTTGACTGTTATTGTTTAGTTTACCATCGCCACGAATAGTGGTTTCTATCTGCTGAAGTTCTTTATGTTAAGAGTTAAGATTACCAGTGCCGGATTTACGTATAAGTTGCATATGCTATAGCAACCTTGCAGCTTTTATTTATTTAAACATTTGGTGCATTTTATGTAATAATTTTATATTGTATCTTTATTGAATTGAATTTTTTGGCTATGTATTTTGTTTGCAAGTGTTAATTTCGAATATAAAATTGTAGGTCATCAATGTATACGTTGTAAAAATAATTCAAAAGCTGAGATATAAGGAATAATACTTCTAATTTTTCTCTTGGTAATCAAATTATCGTTTTTACAGAAGTTTTCCGGAAATCTCTAGCGCGCTTGCGATTTTTCTTGAAGCTTCCAGGAACACTGGGCAGCTTTATATATAGTATACTGTCATTTAGATGCTAAGAGTAAGTTCAGTTCAAAGAGTTAATGAATGAATTCAGAATTTTGAATTTGTATCAACATCTACTGCTCTAGAGTTTAAGGAATAATATCAGCTATCTGCGATTTTTTTCGTTAGGAAGAATTTGCGTTCCTTATCCCTATTTTCCTCGAGCTATTTACAGTTATTCATTTTCTGCGAGCTGTTGTTTATTTCAATAAAGTGTTCATTTCTTACTGCTCGGCGTGATTATCAAAGAGATGATCGCTAACCCACGACCCCATAAAGCAGGTATTAAACTATAATTTTTTAAAGTAAACACCTTTTTTTAAATAAAATTTTCGCAGCATGTTAAAAATACCTTAAAAGGTGTTTCTTCCGGCTTCTTAACGTGCCTTCGTAGTGTAGTAGTCTGCACGATGGGCGCGTATTCCAGAGGTCCGCGGTTCGATTCCCGGCGAAGGCGGTTGCTAATTTTTCATCTTGCCTTCTTCCAGAAAATACCTAATGTCTCTACAAATTAACGCAATATATATAGACAGAAGTGCTTACAAATTCCATACCTGTCATGTTCTTCCACATCCCTATTCTGCATACTAGATATTTCTTCTCCGGTAAAAAGTGTGTCTGTCTAACATGAAAATAGAAACATTGATTATTTTTATTAATAGTAGCAAAATAATTCATTTAACAAATATTTTTTAAGAGAGCACCGCTAAATTAATGCATACTACAATAAAAAAAAACTATATCAAAATTATGTTATCAGATTAATTTAAATAACTAATTATCTACCAGAAAAAAAAAAAAAAAATGTTCTTCCTAAAGCTTCTTAAGTGATCTAGATTACTTACAATTAGATTAGTAGCATGTAATGTAGGGATACATCTGAAAATAACAAGTCGTCTGAACATCTTTTAGTTTGTAATTCTGTCTTTGGTTCAGTTACGACCCACCAGGAGTGGTCAAATAAAAGTTTGTTGCTTTTAACCTGTGTATGTTCAAGTTGACACTAGTCAGGATGATAAATCGCTGACATTTAGGAGGTATATCAGACAGAGCATCAGGTAATAGTGGAGCAATTATTTTAAATCTTAATGACAGTTGAGTGTAATTTAAATACTGTCTTCATTTGATTTTGATTCATGTCATTTAAATTCGTTGTAACCTTGTGCAAATTAAGCTCTCACAAAAGCGTTTTAAAGGCTAACAAAATATGAATTGCAACTCACGCCTTGTTAAACTAAGAGTTGTAGAGACATTAGGTTATTTCGAAGCCATGAGATATAAAAAATAAGCAATGCCGTCGGCAGGACTCGAATACGCTCCGAGTGGGCTACCGTTACACGGCTAAAGCATGCAGAAAGGAGGAAGAAAATACCTTATATACTCCCCCTTTTAATGGGCGATAGGGGTTGGGGGTCCCAATCGCCAAATCCTGGGGAAGAATCATCATCCACCACCTTTCAGTTCGGGAGCCACAGTAGAATCATTAGGTTATTTCGAAGCAGGAGATATGAAAAATGAGTAATGCCCTCGGCGGGACTCGAACATGGACCTCTCGAATACGCGTCGAGTGTGATTCCAGTAACACCTCGAAGGCATGCAGAAAGGAGGGAGAAAATACCTTATAGAGGCAATCGATGTATTAGTGTTACCCTGATACCTTATAGATTCACCTTATTATTCGCACTTGATGGCGCCGATTTGCATTGGAATTTCGGCACTGGTCAAAGGCTGCGTTGAGCCGTTCATATCCGAAACTGCTAAGTACTCCTTTCTATAATGGTTAATTGACGGTAAAACTAGGTAACCTCCATTTAGATGGTTCGATTTTGATAGATATTCATTCAAGGCAGCCGCCTAACTGTTACTAGTTATTGATAAGCAACCGACACTTTTAATTTAAAAATTCTTGTATTAGTTGCAACGTCAACGAAGTGAACAAACAGAATTCGTAGAATTTTAATTTATGCTTCTGTGAGATGATAACAATTAGGACAGTAACTCATCAAATATTAGAAAGTATCTCTTACCAAAGTACAGCTAAATGAACATGCTTTTAAGAATAATTTAAGTACAGAGATATAGATAAGCATGAGAAAGTTTAAGTCTAGAGGAACAAGATTCTACAGATAAAAAAAATAAGTTACTATGTTAATATAAGGCTTCTCTAATTGTCTAATGCATTTAACGGGGTTTATTAATAATACATGTTCTATAAAAATGGCAGATGTCCGAAATAAAATTTGCATTGTAAGCATAATATTAATCAGTTAAAGTATTATAAAACTATGTAGCACATTTTAAAGCAACCCACTTCTTTCTAAATAAATCTTCATAGAATATCTTATTAAAATACAAATCATAATAAGAAATCAAAACTTTCTATAACGGAATGCATACTTAAAATCTGTAAAACATAGCTTAAACTTAATACCTGAGTTGCCGAATTTTTAAGGCAAGCTTTGCGCTCTGTTAACTTTTCAAGACGGTACAAAAACTCTGTTAAGGACCTGCTTTCACTTTCAGATATCTCTTTCCCGTTAAAAATAATTTTTTTCTTCAATATACATAAGACATCTTGTAAGTCTGAAACTGCCTCCTTGTGTTCTTTCTCTTTTACAGACTGCAGTTCTTGATATTTTCTTTGATGCCTTTTTTCTATCACAGAAATATGCTCTTTGTACTTTTCCACCATTTTCAGAAGCTTTTCCTCCCGTTCTTCGGTTGATTTCAGTTTCCTTTTCAAAGCTAACTCATTAAGCTGATATTCATACTTTTCTTTCTTCCAGGCTCTTTTCTGACTCATAAGATCCTTGTTTAATAATCTGAGCTCCTCAAGTTCATTTCGTTTTTCACATTTTTGTGATAAATCTTCCTGAAATGCAATAATTAAAGGCTATAATTATTTGAGAAAAATATGACGTTTTTATGCATATATAAGAGATAATTTAATAAAAGATATCTAATGAGTAACTTTGATTATTCAGCCCATTTCAAGTTAAAGAAGTATTGACAATGGATTTCATTAATAATACCGGATTTGTTATTACCAATATAAGCTACACTGAAGTTTCAAATAAAGAAGGTGGAGGATCTATAACCTTTAATGCTAGTAAATCATAACGTCCCATATATAGTCTTTCCCACCTCCGTCTTTCTAGAAGTAGCAATGAAAATCGTGCAGTTTCAGGCTTTCTTTGCTTCTGTAGGTGTTTCGGAGAACATCAAAAATCAAAGTATTTCAGCATTTCTTTCATATAATGGAAGAATTCTTCGTTTTTCTTTTTAATTAATCTCCTCTCCCTCACACACACTTCCAAAAAAAATCAAAGCATATCATAGTTTAAAATTGTACTTTGCCTTACAATTTTAAGCTATGATGAATTGAATAACTGAATCTATCTCGGAGTTAAAATGCGTTCTGTTTTCTTAGACATCAAATGCTTGTTATAAAAAAAAACTCTCTCTCTCTCTCTTTGCTTTAGAAGCAAAAATTCAAAAATTAAGTTCACATATTTTAAATTGTCTGAAAGAAACTTTACCGAAACGAGAGAAAACTAAAAAGGAAGACATTTTAAGGAAGGTGAAAAACCCTTAATTCAGCCGGAAAAGGAGTATAGATTTTTCTGTTTGCATACCGTACACAAACTCTATTTGCCAGGCTATCCTAAGAAATTAATTTCTCTACAAATGGCTAAGCATTCATTTCAGTTCTCGACGAAATGCTCATTTTTAACAAATTATTGAATTAAAAGTTATTCTATTTTATTGAAAGTTGTAATAATAGCATCATTTGTTGCAGTACGACAATGAGCTCCAACAGTTGTACTTCAAACATTCATGAAATAAAGTTATTAATAATAATAAACTATTAATGAATGACGTGAATAATGTTTTGTTGCTCTAAATTAGATAAATGCTGTCCCAATCAACAAGGTTCTTATTTTTTCTCATTCTTATTTTTTCATTTAAGCTGTGTAGAGTTTCAGTCACGATTATTCTTTAAAAATCGACGTGGCGTATTTCAAGATAATAATCCACAATCCTGGGACATCTGAACATATTTTTAGATTTAATGTCGATCCTGAATGGAAAGACTGAAATAGGAACTTTTCTTACTCACCGCATCATGAGAGTCTAAAATTGGGACGATTGTATATGACGTGTAAATCCGAAGTGGAACGCAACCGATTTAATTCCGATTTTTTCATCAAATCAAAAACTCAAATTCAAGTCGTTGTAGTCATCTGACTGTTTGGCTTAAAACTTACAGCAAAAGAATTTGAATTGGGAGATGTAAAGCTTCAACGACACAACAACGCCACGGAGAAAAATTGAGTTGAAAATGTGCAAGGCGTCAACAAACTTTACAGGCGTAAAGAGAGGCCTTGAAATTCATCTACGAATGTAATCCAAAGCCATCAGCAATATCTGAGAGCCTGTAAGAGCACTATATTAAATGATTAAAAACATGAATTCATTACATAAAACTTTTACTTCTTATTTCTTTAATCCATTTATATAAAGAAGGAAGTGTTTTTTTGTACTCTAATAACTCAGTCACTACTATAGCTATCGTCACCAAACTTTCTACAACTAGTTTCTGGGTTCTGGAAAAGGTCGACGTCCACTTTTTTCCAAAAAATTTTTTAAAAAAATAGCTAAATTAAGAGATAATAATTAAAAACTCGAAAAACGATAATTTTCGTTCTCAGTTTTCCGAGTGGCAACAGTCTCCCAAGCTGGAGATGAAAATCTGCTTTATTTCGAAAGTTGCTGCCACTGCCCGCTTTACGATACTCGTTTTACGATGAAATAAAATAGCACTGCCAAATATTCAATACATTATTCCCGATTCCAAATATTAGTGGGAAGCCATTTCTTCGTATGACTTTAATCAACCGAAATATTAATTAAAATCTTTGAAAGCGCTAATTTTCGCACTCATTTTTCCGAGTGGCAGCACTCTTGAGCGTTGGGGATAAAAATGCTTTATTTCGAAAAGTGTTGCTACTGCTCGCTTTCAAATAATAGCATTTGTTAAGTTTTACAAAATCTATACATTTAAACAATATTTTGGAGAATATAAATAAACAGTAATACTGAACATCATCTCTTCAACACAACCCCCACTACACAAGAATAAGATCACCTACAATCCGAGCATAGTCATCTCACAGGAATTGAATAATACTTAAATTTTAAGATTTCGAAACACATTCTCAAGGTGGTTTCCGTGTATAGACCCAGAAAGACTGCTTCAAATAATTTAAAGGTAAATATATTATAAAATGTACATTCCATCACAAGTTTAAAACTGCAACTTACATGTTCCGTTCTGTTTTCAAGTCCGACTCTTGAATATCTTACTTTGCCTTGACGCTCAGTAAAGGCAGCAGATTGATGTAGTAAAGTAGTTGCTAGTCTTCCATTTGGATCCATTTTTTCCATTCGATAAACTGAAATAAAAAATCTGAGGTGTACACCACACGATTTCCTTGTACGGAATATTAAATTATACGCATTTTTTCTTGTATTTCACTTAAACTTATTGGATTGAATTAAATCTACTTCGCCGACAGCTCATAAAGCACAATAGAATAAATGCTTTCTTTAAAATTCACTCTATTTGTTTACCAAAGCGACACTCTGGCGCTAGATTCACTTAACAGTATTGTATTTCGTTCATATTATAACTCAGAATGCATAAAATTTATATCATTTAAAGAATTATCTAATTGTTGCCACACGTTCTATTCAAATACTATAATAAAGCTAGAACGATGTGTAAAAGAAATTAAGCAAACAAAACAAAAAAGAAACAGTTTTTCACAGACGATTGAGTATTTCTCATTCAATTAATTCAGTTCTCACTTCGCGACAAGGCTCATTAAAAACTCAAAATACCTATATTAAAAATTACGAAGTAAACCTTAAGCACTTATTTCCTGGAAAACATTCCAGAAAGGATTAAGCATGATTTAATTCGCAATAATAAATGAAGGCGTTATCTTTGTTGTTGCGAAGCTAAGTTTCTCTAGATTGGCAAGAAATCCACTAGTCTGCTGTTTCAAATGTAAACAATCAATGGCCGCTATAAAAAAAGGCTTAGCGGCACTTAAACAACTTTAAAATTGTTGATAATTCTAAAAATATTGTATACAGATTTATTAAAGGCATAAAAACCTTAACCGGAAGATAAAAACAACATAATTAAATCATTTTTAAAGCAAAAAATGTACAATTTACAAACATATAAGAGTAAAGAAACTGAGATCACTGAGCCGGTGTAACAGAGTGGATATATATATAAATATATTTATATACGTTTGGCGCGGCCGATTGCAACCAAAATACGAGGTGCACATCTACATGTCATAGCAGTCCTATAGACAAAATTTCTATACAAAATTTCTTTCTGAGGCTACTCGTTTTTGATTTATGCGAGATACGTACGTACGTACGCACGTGCGTACATACGTTCGTACAGACGCCACAAAAATTCTCTTCGGAATTAATTTTAAAGCAGTTTTACAATTTTTTTGGAGAAAACGAGTCTTTTATTCTGTCCTTACGTACAGATATCACGCAAAAACATCGTTAAATTGCATTCGATAGCGGTCAAAATGGATATTTTCGTTTCCAGTCTAATGGCATTTAATAGCATTTTTGCTTCTGTTACGACCATAGAGGTAAGAATAAAAGGAGGGGCCAACCCCAAACTACAAGTAAAGTAATACTCCCAAGCTTTGGCCTCCAGATGGGGTGTTTTTTGTTTACATGCAGAAGCTCCCTTGACAGAGCTCTACTATTTCGACACACGACTGTTCCATACAAATCAAAAAACGATAAACTTCCGCATAAAATAAACGTTCGTTGAATGATGGATAATAATTTCTATAGTTTAGTGACATTTATGCAAAAATCACATCTTGGTTATTTTTCGATAACTAACAACAGCCATTTTGATTAAGAATTTGTTTTATAAAATTCTAATCTGCTGAACTACAAAAATATAGATTTTAGCAAAAATGTTATGCTTAAAGAATGAAAAATACCTTACGGTACTTTTAAAATTGTATACGTCTTTAGATACCTTTGATACCTTATTTGATACCTTATTCGCTACTTTTATTTTATGTTCTAAAAGCCAAAATGTTTTAAATAAAATAATTTTTTTGTTATTCACATATTATTGTAACATGCAATTTTTAAAAATTTTTAGAGGAGAAGCTTTAGAGTTGCTCATTTTAAACTCATCATTTTATTTTTATATAACTAAAAAATAATCACTTCTGGTTTACGCTTATTTGGATTAATTACTTATTTGGGTTAATTAAAAAAATAAAATTACCACAAAATGCTAGAATCCTCGTGAAAATTAATAAATATATACACAGATATGCCAATAAGTTAACTTTTCCTTGATTTGTAACGACACATTTGTGTAAAATTATGTACAGTTTTACACAAATGTGTGGATTAGAAGACGAATACATTTGCGAATGCAGCAATATTATGCAGAGTAAGGCAATCAAGATTGTGATCTGATGACAATGCGGTTAATGTTTAAACACGAAATGCATAGTTATTATTTATTACATTATCAGAAAATCAGAACTTGATGGCTAAATGTAAATATAAAATTATACATGTTAAAATATTTGCAATTAGGCACATGGGTCAGGTCAAGTTTTTATTAAATAAAGTAATGCATGCAAGGGCTATCTGCCTAAAGAGAGAGATGCCATCGTGGAGGAATATCGAAACAAAATTGACCTTTGAGTGGGTATTAAAAATAATACATGTAATTTTCATTCAAATTATATTTATACATATTTCTCATGTAAAAATTTCGGGTGTATGCTAAATTATTGTAAATTACTTTAATCGAAAAATATAGTGAACGCACTGAAATTAAAGATTTACACATGCCGAAAATGAAAAATATGAAATTTGTATGGGTATTTATGCATATGCTTGCAAAAAGCATGTATCTGCCTTTAACAAAATACGCAAATATTTATTAAATTACTTGTAAATGTATTTGAAATGAAGGATTTATTCATTCATAAACTCCTGTGAAAGTTGCTGTAAAGAAATCTAATTATTGAATGTATCTAAATTTATAATGATTATAAATATTATCTAAATATATAATAAACTTATCATCGAATTGTAAACATAAATTGAAATCATGTTTGACAAATATGTTTATAAAACTATTTAAGCAAGAACTGTTCGTACTGGAAAGCAATCTGTTAAAAGGTATTGTAAAGATAATTCTATTAGATGTGTACTTAGTATGTATTGTTGAAATTAAGGGTAAAAAAAAAAAAAAATCTGATAAGTATAATTAAAAGAATTATTCTCTTACATTTTATAATTAGTTACAATTTTTAAAGAATATTTTTAAAAAATCCTTTTTTTATTTCCCTTCAGAAATATTCAGAGAAAGTTAATTACATGAAAATGAACACCAGTATTTAACGCATTTCACTATTAAACAAAAGGTGCTCTCTCACTTGAAATGGACCAAATAGAGCATTCTTTATAAATTGACTTAGATTTTTCGGTTTAGAAGATGCCTCAGAAGCTAAAAAATCATGTCATATTTGAGAAAGTATTTTGGGAAGAAGCTCTACAAATAGAAAAGAAATGCATAAGTTTAATATTAATAATACATTAAACTTTGATCTTAATTTTTGTAATTCTTAAACGAATAAAATCGAATCACCTTAAAAACATTTTCTGATGTAATTAACGAAAACCTGTGAAAGCATTTCGTTCAAATTAAACCGTTCTGAGTAAGCTAGTCTGTGAAAAAGTATAGCATTTAATTCCATTCAGGATGAAATATTATTTAAAAATGTATTCTTTTCATATACTTAGGACTCTGAAATATTGCAGAAAAAGAAAATATGTACATTTATATGCATAATTACAAAATGATTACGTAAAAATAAATCGTGTCCAAACCCATTAATCTTTGGTCAAAGTCACTGAATGTTTTGGTCATCACGAAGGGATCGCCTCTCCGTCTTATTTCCTACCTCCATGGGCTAGATCTTAGACAGAACAAAGAAAGTCTACGTACATATTCTTTGGCCAGAATGCCAGGTGTCGCACCCCAAGGGGGATACTGATAAAGATAAAAATTTCCAGGACAGGCACTCCAACTCCATTAGCTTAAAAACTGAGCAGTATTTATTTGTAAAGGACCAATGATGTGCTAAATCTGTTAGTTTTCTAAGAAACGATATTTAGCACATGTCATGTTATCTCAGGCGATTATCTCCGTAAAGGGAAGTTCTTTCGAATTATGGGTGGTTGTTCTGGTAAATCTCAACATGTTATTTCTAAGAATAGAAAAAGATATGCAGATGAAAGAATGTAAAGAAATCAAGAGGCCACATTCTTTTCGGATTCGTTATTTCTAAATAAAACGGATTGATGAGTATGTTATTTTATATTTAGGCTAACTGTTATAAACAATTTTTGTTGATTATTGATTTTTCTTAGAAAGAGCTTATATTTCCAGACGACTGTTTAGTAACGAAGCCCATTCGAAACTCCAGACCGCCTATGGAGGTAGACACACTTTTACCTACTATGGGACTGCAAGCAGCTTGATTTACGTCTCTCTCATGAGAAAATAATGAGTTAGCTATAAGCGTTTCTATCAAAAATGCATAATTTTCAAAGGGGTATAAACGCAGTCATTTTTACAATTTTTAGTTAAATACAATTGTATTTAGAAAAAATTTGAACACATTGTTCGTCATGTTACGAATTGTTATTAAATAAATGTTACGAATTATACCAAAAATATTTTATATTATTTATGATTTAATATCGAAAAAAAAGCCAATAGGAAAAAAAAAAAAAAAAAAAAAAAAAAAAAAACCTCCCCATACTATTTGTATTATTCTGCGAAACATAGTCTTCCTTGATATGCTTCAGTAAAAGGTTAGAAAGTTTGAAAGCTTTTTTAGATTCTAAAATTGCACACTGTTAGTTAAAAAGTAATTACAAAATGCAAGATTCGAAAATGTTTAAACTACCTAATTATGATTTAACCTCAGATTCTTAGAATACATACCCAATTTCTCAAATAGAGCAGCATTATTTAGAGCAGGGAAGTAACTTGACTGCTCAAGCCTACGTTTAGTTTAATGAATTCGGTAATAATTGATTTTTACTCAAGAAAAATCCCGAGAAATGTTACATTTTTAGGAAAGTTTTATGATCATAATTTATAGAAATTTTCCATTTTGATCACAAAACTTAAAAATACTAAACTATGATTTCAGCTACAACATTAACAAACAGTTTCAGCAACATTTAACATACAGTCAATTAATTTTTCAACGAAATTCTGTGACCCAAGCTAAACAAAATATGATGATTTCTTTTAAACTGCTTTTAAACGAGCGAAAAGCTTTCAAAGCTAACAAAA